GTAAGACCCGCAAAACTGAATCGACGTTATGATCTACAAACGCAAAAGCTACTCTGAGGTAGCTGAGTTCCAGTTGCCCATTTTACAGTCAATAAAAAATAAAAAAAATCACAAAAAAAAAAAATCAAATTTGAAGCCATTGAAACTGAGTCTCTGAGGTGTGCAAAGCAGAAATCAATTTGACGTGTGAAACAAAAACAATATCATAGAATTTACTCTGACACAATACAAATACACTCAAAATGTGACTTTCAGTACATGTATAACTCCTTTACTACCCACGCTCTCTCCTATCTAAACTCAAAACACACCGTAAATATAAGATTAATTTAATTATGCACAGGTGAACCACTTAGCATTGGTGTCTCCTAAATCCTCACCGAACCCGAGGGTGTCACACATCCGAACAGATTAAATATAGCTACTATGTTTATGCTTGTTGCCAGATGTATTAATAAAAGTATTAGCTTTTTACTTGCGATGGTTTTATTGCACACTCGCAATTAGAGGAAACTGACTGGTTTGCAAGTTACCGCACGGTAGTGCTTGCTTGCAATCCCTGCTCGTCTCTGCTGCAGCTCCTCATTTAGTAGAGGTGCTTCAGCCCCGACACACGAGCAAGGGATTGCTGCAGCGTGATAATTAACTGCACCAAAACGTTTGGAAGCTACAACAAGCCAAGTTAGCATGAACTCAATCCTTGGATTGCCGCGCACGTAAATGTAACATTAGCCACTGATGACTATACACTAACGTTAGCTAGTTTAGCTAACTCCCAACACAGATAGTCTTGGCTATTTTACCGGAATCCATGGGGATCAATGAATACACTAAACCAACCCTCCACGCTTGACAACATCAAGTTAGCCTCTTGCAGTCCTTGATTAATTTGACGATATGTTTAGCGTTATGTTAAGGCTGAAATGTTGCTCGCACCATTTTAGTATAACTAATCTGAACTGACACGTCATACTGGTGTAATTCGGTACTATAAAATAGGAATTCAGCTAAAGTGTATGGCGAACACCGATATAAAAATATTCTCAAACACAGCTTCTGCTGAAAAGCCAGATATAGTTTAATAGGTGATTGGTAGAAACGTACCGCAGTCTTTCGACGTTAGGAAAATGGCAACGTAAAAGTTCTGGTCGGTTTGAGACGAGAAGGAGGCGAGCGGGGCTTTCCAGAGTATTTTTTACACTACCTCTTTTAACTCTGATCATTTTCATCAACACTGGGGAGCATCTTACTCTTGTTGTTGTTATTGTTGTTGTTGCTGTTGTTGTTGTTGTTGTTGTTGCAATAACTCTGAGAGAGTCTATGTACTTTGACACTGCATACTCTGTTGTAATAACACTGACACTGTATATTTAGGACTGTGGAATTTACTGTGTAGGACAAGATAAGAATATTTTCAATTTGATATGATACAAATCAATTATTAACTATTTAGACACAGAGTCTTATGAAAAATTTGTTTACTTGCTCTTGTAACATGGTTATCATACAGCTCTACTTATGATGCCAAATGAAATCTTATATGAACAAATACATACATCCACATATTATATTCAGCACAGCTGCAGTTCCACTCTGTCACAGTCTATGGTATGGTATTAAATGGTATGTGGCGCCCTCATCTGTCCAAGTCTCAGCACTGCACCTTAGATTTAAACAAACTGTAACTGTTGAGGTCACTTCTACTAAAGCTCGTTTTATTTTGACTTCATTTGTTAAAAACTCGCTGTAGTTTGGCCTCAGACTGATTTTCAGTCTGGAAAATGAATATTGATCTGAATGAGCCTTCTTTAATGAACAGAGCTGAACTATTTTCATGATTAAAATGTAAGAAAATAGTGGAAATGAGTGACTTGGATGTTGCCTTATGCAGTGATTGTTAACAGAGGTTGAAAATGGAAACATTTATTGTGTTCATTAATATTAGAGGTGTCATTTATGTTCATGAAGGAAATGAGAATTTCATGATTTGTTCATATGAGTAACACTGCACAGTTGTCCTAATTAAAGCAGAAGATTGATCCAAACTTTGAATGTACATTTAAGAGGTTTATTGTAACGATTCATATGGTACATTATGTTGTTACTGCTATATTTCAGGCTCATTGTAGCAGTTTACAGTAGCATATTTATGAGCTTGTCATAATGTATTGTATTGTCAGTTAGTCTCATACATGATTTTATATGTGTATTGTACAGTTACAGATCAGCACTGTATTTCTTTGTTTATTACTTTTCACGGAGCTTCAGCGTAAAGAGGAAGAAAATAAATACAAATGCACCGTTTGAAACTCTCTGCGTCTCTTATTGAAACCAAGCAACCGCTACCATAGCAACAAATGAATCAGCCTGAAGCAAATTACAGCATTCATCCAACAGGTGGACACCTGAAGACATTCATTTTACCATCATATATGGCAAAGAGAAGCAGAAAGTCATCACATTTTACAAAGTGGAACGGCCGAATTGTTTGGCATTTTTGCACACGTTTCACAGCGCTGTATTAGCCATTACCCATAATGCAATTCAATTCAATTCAATTCCAATAACAATTCCAATTCCAGAACCAGTCTCGTGCTTTGTGGCGTCACATAATGACTAGTGACATCACACACAAGCTCTCGTTCTCCGAGGTTGTATATAGGAGTCGTTTCTGTCTTCAGACTCACTTCCACACTCCCACAGGACCCGTGGTTGGAAGCTCTGTTCTGCCGGATCGCAGCCCACTGACACACGGCTGCGGTGGAGGCCCACATATCCTGCCGGTTCCACGCCCCGGCCCCTGCGATATGCAGCGGCTGGAGCGTCGGCAGGACGGGCTAAGCGTGGTCCGGTCCTCAGAGCTTTCAGGAGTCCTCCGTGGGAGCAGGGGGCGGGCGGCCAGTAGGGAGACCCGGGAGATTCTCCCGGTGACCTGAGGCCACCTGTCCGCCCCCAGTGGATTCAAACTCTAATAAAATCTATTAGTATAGGCAAATAAACAAATCAAAAACAAACAAAATAAACAAACAAAATAAACAAACTGGCTGAAAGCCGAATGCTAGGGGCTAACATGCAGAACCAAAATGACATCAAACATGATGACACAATCAAATAATCACATGATACTAATATTCATTATCAATGATTATTCATCACACATATCTACAGCACTAATCAATTACAGACATTTTAATCAGCCAAGAATTCAGCGGGAAACTTTCCTCCAAACACACAAATATACATTTAAATATTATGCTTTCAAACCTGATTGATTAGCCAATTTACTGTTGCAGACATCACAAACACTCCATGTAGGTATTTATAGTTTTAACTTTTATTAGGTGAAATATAAACTTTTATCAGGTTGTATATGAACTTTTATCAGACCAAATATGAACTTTGATCAGGTCAAATATGAACCTCTGTCAGGTCAAATATGAACTTTTATCAGATATACCGTATGCTGATTGATTGACGTGTCACCGAAACTGTCGGCCTAACTGCTGCATCTGGATAAAGGTTTATCAGGAGTTCCATCATGACATTATGATGATGACATGGACTTTGCAGAGGCGAGGTTGTATATAAGACCTCAAACTGGTTATTTGGTAGTATCTGGGGAGCGCCTCTACTGGCATATGGATTGGGGGAAGTCCACCAGGGGCACCACGTCCTCCCTGGGGACTGATGGAGGACGAAGGGAACACTGCCAAGCTAGCCATATCAGCTGAATCCCCCAGGGTAGATAGATAGTGTTCATAAGGTAAGTAGGGTAGATAGGGCTGATAGGGTAGTTATGGTAGATAGAGCTGAAAGGATAGTGTGGGTAGACAGGCCACAAACCAAATCATCTTTCTTCTAGCTGCCATCATTACTTAATGACAACACAAACTTTGTTGAGACCAGGTTGTAAAGGGGATTTTGAGCCTGTTTGAAGGTTGTAGCTGGGGTGGTGGTCCACCACGGTCTTGTCATCCTCATCCATTGGGTGCGGAGCCCCGAGGGGGTGTAGGGGGCACCCATGGACCAACGGGGGACGTAAGGGACACCTGTCTATAGATAGATGGTTACATGGATAGGTTGATAGGCAACACAACCTATGCTCTTCAAAAATACTATCAAAAAATTAAAAAAAATTAAAGTAATCCATACAAAAACAAACAAACAAAATAGCTCCTACACCAAGTGTGAACTGAAGTTAATGCAGCGCCAAGAAGAGAATTAACAGATGTGGAGTAAGTTTATTTCTTTATATTATTTGCCCAGTTAATTTTGGTTAACTAGTATTTGGGTATCAGCTGGGCATCTGAAGTCATCTGGGTATATATTTAAGACCAGCATGCAGTTGGGTGTGCCCACAGTTTTTTTTTACTACAGCAGGAGAGGCAGCCAAAAACATGATCAATTTGTTGTCCTGTTTGCTGCATTTTTGGAAATGAAATCATGAGAATAACCTATTGGCTTTGTTTGCTCAGTGGAATCTTTTGTCTGCATAAACCACATTCATAACTTGGTCTTATTAGTAATTTTGATTCTTTTTAGGTCAAGTGGGATTTTTTTTCAATGTTATGCAATGACCATTAAAACTGGCCATAATTGACAGTTTCTTGTGTCAGGATCACTGAATGGCAGTGGGTAAAACCAAATTCTACTCTGTTGACACAGAAACAATCTAGTAGATCCTTTCAGATACAAAAGGTCAGGTATTGTATGGGGCCTGTGATTATTTTTGGGTAAATGTATGAGCCTACAAATAATGTTTTAGTACAAATAGCCACTAAATATATCAATGATATGAAACGAAAAAAGAAAAAAAACATTTTCGAACAAATACTCATTAAATATATCAGTGATAAGTAAAGAAGGGAAAACAAAACAGAAGAGAGAAGGCGCTCTAAAACGGCGATCTTCTTCCTGACCACATGTGGCGCTGTGGAAAGGCCACATAGCTATTTTTCGTGCCGCTGTTTCTGTCCATTAGTTCTTCCGGTGTACGTCACTGTGGCAATGCAAGTGTTTTTGCGACAATTTTATAAATAATTTAGTGAAATACAGAACAATTTGACGGATCTCTGGACCGTCTGTTTAGGTTCAGCGGCTTCGCTGTAACTGAAGTCAAACATGGATATCCCCAGTCCCCCTGAAGGTGAGCAGCGCGGTGCAGCGATGTATGATTTTCATTGAACGTTACCTAGCACCCATGCTACCAGGAGCTAATGCTATACAACACATCCAAGCTTAACTCTACATGTAGCATTCCGGCTAACGCTAGTAACGTCAGTGGTTAAATGTGTATCTAACAGGTTTTTGTGTATACCTTTGCACTTAATCTGTATGAACAATAACATGTGACTACTATTGCAGCAGCTAGCTAACTGGTTATTGTTTCGACGTTTTATTTAGCAAATTAGCAAACTTTGACGGCTAAAGTTATTTTGCTATTTTATTCCCCCCCCCTTTGTTTTCAAATTTGCTGCGAACATCAAATTCTCGATAGAAATGAAGGCAGCATTAGTCACGCAGCTAACAGAAATGGGTCATTTTTACTTTTTGATATATGTTCATCACGTATCCTACAGTTAATGTTGTGTGTTAACACAGTGATTTCCAGTGCAGGCAGCGGAGAATTAAGAGCTCAAAATCAAATACATGTCACTTGTTAAATCATTCATTTAATTTTCACAGCGATTGTTAGAAATAGGTTTTAAGGTCCTGGTTTGTGCCTCTTGGGTTTTTCTGAGAGGTAAATACCCAGAAAGCCATTGTACTGCACTTACTGTTTTGATGGTATTTCCTCAAAGACGCTTCAAACCATGTGGATGATCTGCTCCACAGTAAAACAAACTCAGCCACTTTTCAAAGCTAAGATGGTGTTTACTAATGCAAACATAGATGGTAGCCTGAAGCAACACATTTCCTTAAGTTTGAAAATGAATCAAAATTAAAATCTTTTTTCTCAGTTATATTTTTATATATTGTTGTTGCTTCATATTATTCCAGATTTACACACTAAATTACATTTTTAAGAATTATACTTTTATATTTACCTTGTAGGAAACAGTTCATATTCTTATATCTTGCAGTGGACAGGATACTTTTTACATTCAGATTGGTACATAAGTCAAAACAGGGTTAAATGTTGTGAAACAATGTCCTGTCTTTTAAGATCACTAAATATATATCATTCAGCTTAGTTCTGTCATAATGTATTGTAATAAATGTTCTAAAAGTGTCTAAAAGCACAGATCACTGTAACTTCTTTCCGCTCTTTGTTATTTGTTTTTCATTATCGTCATCAGCTCTCAGCTCTGACTTTATATTTTCCTCCTCTTCTCCTCCCTGGTTCAGATCAAGAGCTGAGGAATGTGATCGACAAGCTGGCCCAGTTTGTTGCTCGGAATGGGCCGGAGTTTGAGAAGATGACGATGGAGAAACAGAAGGACAACCCTAAGTTCTCCTTCTTGTTTGGGGGAGAATACTTCAGCTACTACAAGTGCAAGCTTGCAATGGAGCAACAGCAGCGTATGTAGTAAAAAGGACAGTCCACCATAAAACTAGAATTTGCACACAGATATGTGAACGATGGTGGAATGTTCATCTCATTTGATATTTAAGATCAGTAGGACTAGGGGTTAAATGGTGGTTTGTCAGTTGAGTCTAAACAGAGACAAGACAGACTAGCAGACACATACATATCAACCACACTCAAGTAGGAGAGAAGCCCCACCCAGCAAATCATCACACAAAGCAATGGTATTTTAATTTCTTTGTTGCAGAAGAAATATCCTGCTTATCTAGGACCACATAAAAAGAACTAAGTCATAAATTCAAGTTTTTATAATGATTAAAGGGACAGACTCGCTTTGACTGGTGCAGAGAAATGCGAACATCTGGACTACTGCTTAGTTGGACAGAGTCGGGCATACTGGGACAAATTCCTGTGAGCCACGTAAGGTGGATCACCTATATGCAGGTTATTCGGGGTGCGCTGGAGAGCGTGCTGCATGTGTGTTCTGTGAATCGGGCTCACTGACCAATCACAACCAAGGCTTGAATTGAAGTTGGACTTCACTGTGTTTGGAACTAGATGTGACAGATCATAGGACTGAGTTTGGAACCTTAATATGTTTTGAGAACAGATTAAAAGCATTAACTGTACCTACAGTTGGCCTCCAATACCAGCTAGTATTTCTTAATTGTGTTAACACATCCTTTGATTAGATTTTTCATTACTCAAATTCTTATTTGTGATAGGCAATATCACATAAACAAAAATGTATAAACACATCTATGAACAAGATTATAAACCGAGTGGACATTTCACATGGCTCATCATGACTGAATCCAAATGGAAAGGTACTTTCTGCCAACACTAGAAGCTGTGAAAAGATACTGTAATCAGCATCTCCATCACCTACTGTTGTTTTATTATCAGCTACTAGATATTACTCACCTGTCACCTCATATACCACTTGCACTCTATTTCAGTGGGGGTTCCTGCCTCACTGATAGATAGGTTTAACAAACAGGTTTGTAAAAAATGAACATGCAGGACCGTTTAATGGAAATAATGGATTTCAGTTTGGTTTTTGAATCAATCTGAGTAATCAGTTTAGACTTTTTTCATAAATCCAGCAGCTACTTTCTTAAATACAGTGTTTTCATAACTGAAAGCAAATTACACCCAAGTTATAATGAACTGTGATTTTTCTTCAGCATTTGATTTATACTTTATTTGGTCATTAGTTTCCTCTATCCCTCTATCTGCACTGGATGAGATGTGTGTCTGTATGCACTTGTCATGATAGATGCAAGCAGACCAGAGCTGATTATATTCTTCAGTGCTTAAGAGGATTTACTGTAAGAGAGAAGATGTAGTGTTTGCTGAAAGGGCAAAAGCAGAAAATATCACTTGAATTAAAAACTCAAGAAGTCTGTGCAACATCTGCATTGTAATGCACCACTGTGAGCTCAAGCATGTGTTCAGCCAGTGAATAATGCCAGAGAAATAGTGTGTGGACACGGTCATTCTACACAGTCACTCTACAGCTTTTATTTAAAATAACGTCTCTGATGTCTCAAATGTTTAACTAAATATGTAAATTAATAACACAGTTAAATGATTTGAATAGCATGTAAAAAGAAAAAAGTATTTTCCCTGTTGGTCATCTGTCACAGATTTATATGTGAGATGACCTGAGCCAGTGAAAAACTACTGAAAGTTGTAATAATGGGATGAGATTAGAGAGAGATGTGATGAGATTTAAATGTTATTAGAAGATGGAAATGTTGTTAATCACAGGATGTAATAGATTAATTAAGGTTAATTTTAAATTTTAATTATTTTTTTTTTACCATAAATCTGCTACAGTGGTTGCCAGTTGTCCATCATGCGTTTAATTATAACGTTTGTAATTGTACTGTAAACCTTCAGATCGTAGATGTACTGCAGATAGTAGTTTACTGCTGTTGTTCTGGTGGCTGTAAGAGGGAAACTTCCTGGTGATGACCCAGGAAAGATTTGAATTTACAGGTGAAGACCATGACTAGGGTGTAAGTGGCCTTCAAATTTAAGGCTCAGGCTGGGTCATGATGATGATGTAATGGTGAATTCTCTGTAGACTGTGAAGACACCTTTCTGATGCTGGATTCTGGGGGTCCATGTCCAACCTTTTCTGTAATATTCTGCACCCATTCACAGCCATGTCACACTGTGTTTGGTCAGCTGTATGGGAGTGAGAAAGGAGCCAAGGATCGAACTTCTCTCGTTCTTTTTGGTTTAAACTTGCTCCACAACTATTTGTGGTGCTCTCGAGTAGAACTGAATGACCCCCTAGGAAGACTGTCTGAAAATGTGCAACTTAAAAAAAAAAAAAAAAAAAAAATCCAGTCCCAATATTGTGCCTCTACATAGCTGGCCTTTCACTCCGTGTCCTTTTGTATCACATATAAACACTTTATATATGTGATGTGGTCCGACAGCACGTCTGACAAGCTAGTTCTGACAGACCATAAATCTGCCCTTATGTTAAAGACACAACGTGCAACAATTGGCCAACTGTTGAAGTCATACTCCAAATAGATAGTCAAGTCAACTTTATTTCTATAGCACATTTAAACACAGCTTGAGCTGTACAAAAAGCAATTAAAATAAATAAGTGCAACAAATACATATACAATACATAAGAGACATATAAGTATAATAACTTCCCCTGTGCCACAGTTGGACTGGACTGTTCCAGGACTGGGCTCACTAGTCACTCTCACATTGAGCTACTCAGCAGAGGGCAATTGTTAACATATTATCAAACCTGCATGTATTAGGGGATAATGTTTTCCACACAGGTTAACCTTGTGATCTGATTATGTAACTGCTAGGTTGTTCTGTTTGGTTATTGTTAGACTGACACAGTCTGTCCAGTCAGAGAGACGGGGAGATGTGGTGGTGACAGGAGTAGAGGTTGAGGAACGTGAGGGAGAGAGAGAGAGAGAGAGCAGCAGCATCAATAACAGAGAGAGGATGGCTGCAACACAGGTTTATAGCTGCTCACAGTTACTACTTCTTCATCCTCTCATGTAGGACTGAGGGCAGACTGGACACTGTGGTGACTCACAGCCTGTGGCTAGCTGGTTAGCATTCTAACTTCAACACAAAACACAGATGTCTTTGACACAATGTCAGAACTGTTACTTCTTTATATCCTGTTGATAATCTGAGTTAATTGTTTAAGGTTTTAAACTAAAATGCTCACATATTGCCCCTTTAACCTAAATCAACGTGAAAATGAAAATGTACATACTGTCTCTGTCGGTATGTAAAAGCTGTAAAAGAGAGTTTTGTACAGCATCTCTACAACCTGCTGCTCTTTGATTATCATCTGACAGAGATTCAGTTTCAAACCTGCCTCCTCATGTGCTTGCAGCCCTACATTTAAGCGACATGCCAGCAAGGCCAAATGGGAAAGAAATAGCCACTCACACCAGTCCTCGTACTTTATAAACTCAGACATCCTGAATATCATAAAAAGAGCAAACTCTGGGGAAAACAAAAAATGCTGCCTGGCCACAAAGAGACATAAATACACAATTACAAATATTAAGAAGATATGGGAAGATGGTAAAGGGAAGGTGGGAAAAAAGTAAATTACTGTACTTGTCATTTTAATTTACTAAAGACTAATGACTCATCAGTCTGTTAGTGCCACTTGTTGCTTAAGTAGAGGTAGTTGGAGCTTCTTACAGCAGCCACAGTCAGGTTTTGGTTACTGAATGACAGTCAGGTGATCAACAGCCTGGTTATAAAAGCACAGTGTTGTGCAGGTTTGCATGGAGTTCTTGTGTCAGTTGTGTAATTCCACTAAAATGCATTAAAGTTTGCTTTTCTCCACTTAGATCCCTCTACCCACGATGGGGAGGAGTATAAATCTGAAGGTATTTATTTGGAACCAGATTTGTCAGATTCAAAATACCAGTTGGAAAGTTACATTTTGTTTTTGCACATTTTGCTTGAAAGCTTTTTGGTTTGTTTTCAGTTGCATTTTTCATGTTGGTATGTTGTTGTTTTTGAGTTTGTGCTGTACTGTTGTTTTACTGAAGATATCTCAAGCATATCTTCCTGATGGTGCTTAATCCTCCATCTGAAGCTGTCAGTCCTGATCAGACAAACAGAGAGAGGAGCCTGTTGATGTGTCTTTGAGCAAGGCCTTGTGGTTTAAGTTGTTGAATGCTTCTGCTCATGATTTGGGACGGCTGTATTTTAAGGGCTGCATGACACCAATATCAACATCATTATATCTAGAACAATAATGTCCTGATCAAGGTTTCACCTCGCAGTCTCAGGAATAGTTCCACGATAGACTGGAAGCAGTGGGTGATCATGTCTTTGTAGGTGTGTTCTCCTGTTTATGATGCACATGCTGCTGGGCTGGTGCGTCCATCCTGATTTGGATGTGGTGTGAATATTGTGCTATCTGGAGAGCCCCTGGTATAAATGCACAGTTATAATATTATACTGAACTTACTGTTGAGTAGCTTCAGCAGAATGTATGTTACTGTTTGATAAATTTAGACTATGGTAAATGTGGACCAAATTCATGTGTAGTTTGATTATAGATCAGGTCTAGGTTCTATATTAATACTGTGAAAGTATCAAAGCCTCAGTCCACAGAGAAATGCACACAGCCTGTATTCACAAACTGAGGGTTAAAACCAGCCGTCAAGACTACTGGAACTTTGTGATGTCACAACAAACCTGGACCCGCCCACCTGGACCAACCATGAGTGTTTACCTGAAATCTGCTATATTTTTTATTTGATCAATCATTTGAACAGTCAGCCAATGAGAAGAGAGGCTCAGAGCCTCCTCTCTTCTGATTGGCTGACTGACCTGTTGTTACTAGAGCTCCAGAGAGAAGCCTGAGAGAGGAGATGTAAAACTACACTGAGATGGTTTTTGGTTCTTAAAACCACAAATAAATATATCTTCTTAAGGATCAACATTTAATAAAAAACAGGAGAAGAAGAAAAGATGGAGCTTTGACAGTGAGTGACAGGTTTTATTATCAGTGATTCCCTGATCAGATTAATGTTTATCCACTTGGGATGTCCATATTTAAAGTATATATGTTATTATAGTAAATCATTTTTTGATAGTTTTGACACTTGTGTTGGTTGTAAAATATTTGCTGTTTTATGTAATATGGACAAGTGACTTCATTTGATTGGGCAGCCTGGCTGTAGCTGAGTAACCTGATGTTTCTGATGTGCTCTTCAAACCTTTGTTCTTCTGAGTCTTGATATTTGGAGACGCCATCATGTTTCCTTTCAGCAGCAGCTGTTTCTGCTGGAGTCTCAGGGTTTGGGATCATCAGTGGTGATGTCCATGCTGGTTGCATATCTTTAAAAAATTTAGTTCACTCTTTTGCTTTGTTTCTGGAGTGTTTCATCTGCTTGCTGTATGAAAACTGTCACATCTTATCTGACCTTTAAAGGTCACTTTAAAATAGTTCAGTGTAAACAAACAACACAGCATCTGGCTTGTATATGATTTATGGAATACAGCTTTCTCTGGGACACTGCATTAGGCCTGAAGTCAAAGCTTTACTTTCAACTTTTAATGTCCATATTTCCTGCTGCTGTTTCTGCAGATATGTACAACCCGGGCGCCAAAGACGTGGTTGATATCCCTCCTCCACCGATACCGATGATCGCTCCACCTCCCATTCCTCCGCCTGCTACACCCTCCATCGACGAGCTCATCCAGCAGAGCCAGTGGAACCTGCAGCAGCAGGAGCAGCATCTTCATACACTCAGACAGGTCCAGAATAACAGTTATTTATCCTCTGTTTATTAATTATTTTATTTATTTGCAACTAAAAACCAATGCTATTTCTTTGACTTCCCTAAAGTTCAGAGTAGTGAGCCAGATAAGTTGTCAGATACTGTTGCAGGGACAAGACTAATTCTTTCGGTGAGGTAATATTTATGGATGGATAAATGTAACAGGGTTCAGTCTGCTGCTGAATATACAGTTTACAACACCCCGTTAAATCTCTTTTTCAACATAACAGTTACAGTCTCTGCGTTGTGCAGAAGATAATGTTTAAGTAACAGCTGGCAGGTGACTGGCTGACTCCAATGAAGAGTCACACACAGCTCCAATGTCGATTCACTGACTTTTTTTTTATTATTGCTTAAGAGCACTTCAGGATCTGGGGGATACAATCCGGGGGTCTCGATAAAACTATTCAGTCTAAAAGAAAACCATCATCAAAGGAAACTTAACTGCAAATAAATATGCCCAACGGTCTAACTCTAATCAGGATCAAATATCTATTACAAATTATATAAAGACACAATTGATAAAGATGAATTAATACACATAGATAATAATTCTCTAAGTCAATATATTTACTATCTCTATCAGATAGGATATAAATGAATATATTAATGTTTACAGATCGAGTCACACCTGCACCTAGGCATACAAGCCCAGTCTGACTAGTTCCCTCGGTAATGGACTTTATATTTATATATATATATATATACTGTATACATATATATATATATTGTATCGTTACTTTGGTAACCTAGCACTAAATATGAAATACAAAATAACATAAAAATATAAAAAATATATAGCTACACTTTACAATGAACAAAAATAAAATTAGAGACAAAATTTAAATGCTCAAATGATGTATTTAATATAACACGCTAGAGACACATGTTTTCCTAAACCCACCTGAAATATGTGTTTAGGAAAACATGACTGCTGTGGATCAGCGTTTGATCAAAGACCCAAACCCTGGTCAGAAGTTTTTTACATGCAGAGGATGTACAGTGCATTCAGAAGATATTCATAACCTTCACTTTTTTTTTGTTATGTCGTAGCCTTTCATTATGAGGTACTGAGTGTAGATTGATGAGGGACAAAATAACTTTTTTTTCATTATTTTATCATAGGACTGCAACACGACAAAAAAGTGAGTCTGAAATCTTTCTGAATGCTCTGTAAATACCTGTGAATATGTAATTAAGTCGTAATGTAGCTGTTCTACACTGTTAGTCTCTTGTATTTATCCCTGGTGTATTGGCCCTTCACTTCCTGGTCTTCCCTGATGAGAGCTAGCATTGGTCTGGTATCTTTAACTATTTTGTCTCCTTCACTCGGGGGAACATCATGAGGACAGTGGCAGGCTGAAGAAGAACGGTTGATAACATTTCCTGATGCTTTTTTTTTCTGCCTTATCCATGTAGGAGCAAGTGAGTGCAGCCATAACTCTGGCTATGGAGCAGCAGACCCAGAAGCTGCTGCTGGAAACTCAGTTGGACGTAACAGAGTTTGACAACCTGTTGCAGCCCATCATCGACACCTGCACCAAAGACGCTATCTCTGTAAGCTGATCTCATAATGGAGAGTTTTTTTTAGTCATGCTAACTTACGTACATCCCTGTAAAAACTGGTGTTTGTGTTTCTCTCAGGCTGGTAAGAACTGGATGTTCAACAATGCCAAGTCTCCACAACACTGTGAACTGATGACATCACATCTTCGCAACCGCATCACTGCTGATGGAGCACATTTTGAACTCCGCCTACATCTCATCTATTTAACCAATGACGTTCTCCATCACTGGTACACAAACATGAATGCATACATGAAAACATGTGGATCACTTTGCTTGTACACTTTGCTCACCATAATAATAATGTAATTATCCTGCGAGGTAGTGTTATAAAGCCCTGATTACAGCTACGTTAATGCAAGAAAAATACCTACCTACCTGCAAGAACCTATAAGGTATAGAAACCACTCACTGTGTGGACACTAGTATCAACCATTGCACAAGCTCAGGTTTTGGGTATTAGTGCATTATGAGTTTAACATGTAAACATTTACTAAATGGCTCCATTAATAACAATATGCCAGTGTGTAATCGAGCAGTCTATTGTGAAAAAATGAAACCACAACAATTTCGATAATCGACTATTTTTAAATTCAGATATGAAGCAAGAATGATGAAAAGTCTCTTGTTGCAGCTTGTTCAGTCAGCAGAGTTGCTGCTTTCCTCTGTTTTATATCATTGTGAACTGAAGATCTTTGGGTTTGGATTGACAGTTGAAGATGTCAGCTTGGGCACTGGGAAACTGCGTCATCATTTTTCATTATTACTTCACATTTTATAGACCAAATGATCAATTGATTAATTGAAAACATAACTGAGAACTAACATTTGTTGCAGCCTTGGTCTGATTATGAAACAACTTAAAAGATGTGGGGGGATTTACTGAGAAACTTAATGTGTTTGAATGTGTACTTGCAGCCAGCGGAAGCAGCAGAAGGATTTGTTGGCAGCTCTGCAGAAAGTTGTGGTTCCCATCTACTGCACCAGCTTCCTGGCTGTGGAGGAAGAGAAGCAGCAGAAGATCACGAGGGTAAACACCTGCTGATTTTTAAAAGCTGTACCAAATCGGTGTGGTTTTGAAACAGGATTTTGTGTCAATTTTGAGCATCTTTAACTCTAGTCAGGAGTGTTTTAGTTCTGTTAGTAAAATAAACATCAAATGACACTAAAACTTTCCCCTTTTAATTGTATTTTAATAGGACAGTGTCAATGCTGCAATTTAATACCACTCTAATATTTATACAAATATTCCATCTTCTTCCTCCGTCCCAGTTGTTGCAGCTCTGGGAGAAGAATGGCTACTTTGATGATGAGACCATTCAGCAGCTCCAGAATCCAGCATTGGGTCTCGGCCAGTACCAGGTGAGTGGAATGAGACTCATGGCTCCATTTCCTGCTGGTGCAAAGCTCTCTGCACTGGCAACAGCCAGGGTCAGGTTGCCCGTCCAACATTCACCTGGACTGAAAGATGAACTGATTAGAATTTGGTGGTCAAATGTCAAGGTCACTCTGACCTCACAAATCAGGTTTTTGGCCATAACTAATGAATTCATACATTACATGTGACATAATTTAACACAAATGTCTAATAGGATAAAATGATGAAGTGATGACATTATATATCAAAGGTCAACTTCACTGTGACATCATAATATCCTGCAAAATCACCTCTGGACATTAATTAGTGCTGTAACTCAGGAAGGAGAGACTGTGAGCATATTTCCAGTAACTTGACTGGTTGTTGGAGGAAACATCCACGAGGTGGTGATTCTAGTTGTACAATCATCCTCAGACACTAGTCTATTTTTTTGTGTCTGTGTCATGCTAATTTCCAAACAAAGTGTTTGTGTCGAGATATGTCCAACCAAACTATTAGTTCTACTCACAGATGGCATAGCAGCATCATCTTCATTAACTATATATATCTTCTGATACGATGACAGGATCAGGATCTAATGATAAGGCTCTGTGATTTTCTAAACATCAGACTGGAAAGCTGTTACTCACAGATTCCAAATTTAACTGTAAAATCATCTGGAGTAACGGAGCTGTGCAGAGTCCACATATTTTCAACAGGACCATTACAGTGAGTTTTCAGTTTTTCCACCTGAAGTCACGTTCTTCTGTGCATCGAGGTGAATCCATATAATCGGGAACACCACTAAATTATCCATCCTATGTGTTGTGAACTTGGTTGTGAAAACATTTTTAAAGAAGCTCATACATGTGAGGTGCCTCGGCCTCATACTGGAGAAGGTCAACAGGAAGCAATCTGTTATCTTCAATTACCTTAAATCAGTTCTCAACCCAATTTGACCCATTCCCTACCTGACCCATGAATGATCCAAATCAACCAAAACGCACTGAGTGGAGATGGTCATGGCAGAGATACCCTCCAGTTATTCATTGGATCATGTTTATTTCTGTTTCCTTCTCCTCAGAACCAATTCCACTGCAGAGGATCACATTCACAGCTTCAGAATCCTGCACACATTAAACACAGCAGCCGTGGTGTCATTACCTTCATTAATTATATAAATCTTCTGATGAGATAGGCATTTATTAATAACAGACCCTGTACTTTTTTCTAAACATAAACCCCATTTTGTCTTTGTTTGCCTAAAAATATGCAGAGGAGAAAAACTGTAACAACCCGTGCCAATACTCAAGCTGCAGCAGCACCCTGAATATGCTGTAGTGACAGCATATTCAGGTTGATGTATGTGATCAATATTTTTCAGTTTGCGGTTCGGTTCTTCGTGGAGAAACTGTTTTCTCTCTTTCAGAGGCCTCAGCTTCTCTCGGATTGTGGTTTTCTTCTACTAATAATATCCAGTTTCGCTTTTCATGCTGGTTTGCACCACTACCTGTGTTGCAAAAATGTGGTCACACCCATTTATGTGTTCACTTGAAGACTTTGCTTGTGTTTGCCCTGTATATCAGGAAAAGATTTTCATTCAGTGACAATACTGTGACACACCCTTGTCCTCTCTCTCTCTCTCTCAGGCCTCTCTGATAACAGAGTATGCTGCGGTGGTGCAGCCGATCCAGCTGGCCTTCCAGCAGCAGATCCAGGCTTTGAAGACCCAACATGAAGAGTTTGTTTCCAGCCTGAAGCAGCAGCAGCAACAGCAGCAGCAGCAACAGCAGCAGCAGCAACAACAGCAGCAGCAACAGCAGCAGCAACAACAACCACAGCCTGCGCCTGTAGCACAGCTAGCTACCCCCACTGAGCCGGAGAAGGCCCCACCCATGACCACACAAGCTGGTGGGAAGACACACACTTAATGCAACTGAACGCACAGCCTGATACATGGAATCAGATTTATTGTTTACATGACAACAAAGCCAAAAATGTTAAGGATTTGTACATTAATACAATAAACTCATACTCTTCTTAAAATTTAAAACCACAAAACAGTTTAACACTACATTAGTTTATTCTTACTTTAAAGTGTTGTGTATATGATTATATGTGTGACCTGCTCTGTATTGGGCAAGTACATGAATGTTTGTGCTCTAATGTGTTGGTGTGCGGTCTGCAGGGGATGTGAAGCCTGCCTTGTCCGGTCCTCCTCCAGGAGAGTTTGATGGAGCTTCCTCCCGAGCACAGGACCCCAGCAACCCCAGTGGACCCTCAGATATCCCCTCCAACAAGCCTGGGTGGTATGACCCCCAGCACATGGGCCCCTGGAACCCCAACCAGCCGGTAAAGTCCTGTGTGTTTGTGTGTGTGTGTGTGTGTGTGCGCGTGTGTTTGTGTGCATGTGTGCGTGCGTGTGTGCGTCCGTGCGTGCGTCTTTGCTGGCGGGCTTTGGCACAGTAGCCAAGTAGTGGTTGAATCAGGAAGGTGGTGTCTCATCTTTTCTTTCCATCATACATCACACTACATTTACATTCATTCATTTGACAGAAGTTTTTGTTGAAAGTGCACTTACAAACCAGGAACAGGTGGCGACCGTGGCTCAGGAGGCAGAGCGGGTCTTCCACTAACTGCAGGGTTGCTGGTTCAATATGAGCAACACACTGAACCTAAGTTGGTCTGGGTGAGCAGACCAGCACTCAGAGTGAGTGAGAGACAAATTGAAAAGCAAAATGAGTTTTGGATTAACAGCTGTTTACTGACCAGTTTTCTTGTTTTGCTTTTATTTTTATCTCGTCTTTTCTTATACCGGAGTTAGCATGCTAACCAGCTAGCCCAGCCTAGTTGGCACATCTCGTCACTTTCAGACACTGAGTCACTGTAATATCTGGTCTGCCATGAAGAAGTAGCTGAAGCAGCTGCTCAGAGGATGCATTATAACCTTATGTATTGTAACACAATGATGGCTAAAGGTCTTGGCAAGCGACCATCACCTCCATGTTTGCTGAGAAAACATACAAATAGCCCCTTTAAGGTAGAAAAGCGCTATATATGTGCAGTCCATTTAAAATCCAAGCCACACTTGATCATGGCCTTTGAGAATAACAACACTCAGTTCTATGTTCCACCTGACGGGAGTGCCACAAGGCTGCAGGTACATTTTTCCAAAGATGGAGAAGGACTGAGAGACAGAGGGAGGGAAAGAGCTCAGAATCAGTTAGGTGACCAGCCTCCACCACAAGGCACCACACAGGAGAACAGTTTGGATTGAGGTTTCCTGTCTCTCCATTATGGTAGGACTAGTTGTCATGGATTTGCAGGTTATAGTGAATGAGAGTCCTCATAAACCTGAGGGGGGCTTTTGAAAGTGTAATGTATTTTCCGAGTGTCTGTAGTAGAGCTGATCTCGTTATGTTGAGCCCAGCCTCGCCTGTCCTCTCCCCTGTTTCACAGAAGGCTCCACCCCCAGGGGTAGGTTCAGTCCTGCCCTCTTCAGGGGACTCCTGACCGAGTCCATGTTCATCCCCTTTCTGACTTTTTTCCCTCCCCAGCCTCCTTTTGACCCGAACCAGCCCCCCCCTCCTTGTCCTCCTTGGAACAGCCATGAGGGGATGTGGAACGAGCAGAGGGACCCAGGAAACTGGAGCGGGGGTCCACCCAGAGAAGGAGGCCCTTGGAGCGGTCCTGGTGGGTCTGAACCAGGCCCTCCATCTTGGAACTCATATGACCAGCAGCCACCATGGGGGAACCAGCCTGACCAACCTCCCTGGGGCCAGAGGGAGCCCCCATTTCCTCCACGCATGCAGGCATGTGGTCGATGATTCCTGTGGTTTCACTTCCTTTGCTTTGTTTTCTTAGCTGTTTTATTGTATTGCATTCTATTCATTTATTCTATATTTATTTGTATTGTCTAACTTGAATTTTTACAGAGACCTCCCCATTTCAGAGGGCCCTTCCCTCCCCACCAGCAGCCCCCTCCTTTCAACCAGCCCCCTCCTCCACCACACAATTTCGGACGCTTCCCTCCACGCTTTATGCAGGATGACTTCCCTCCCAGACACCACTATGACAGGCCGCCGTACACCCCACACCGCTTTGACTATGCTCAGGGAGAATACCCTGGAGGTGAGTGCAGGGATGATTGATCAGAAACCCGACTCAAATGCATCTAAAGCTGCCTGGTTTTGTGTTTTAACAATATCCACCTCTGTTTGTCAGACATGCCAGGTCCTCCCCCCCACCACCATCCCAATCAGAGGCTCCCTCCCCCAGGAATGGGGGCTGAACATCCTCCTTGGGGTGGAGGCCAGCACCCGGATTTTGGCCCACCCCCACACGGCTTCAACGGCCATTCGCCCCACATGCGTCATCGGCAGCATCCGGTCCAAGATGACCCAAGTCTGGTGCCAAACGTTCCCTACTTCGATCTGCCCGCTGGTCTCATGGCTCCTCTGGTCAAAGTGAGTCACCTGCCTGTCTTGCTAGAAGATGGCATAATTGAACACAGCCAAAGAGAACAGTGTTACAGACTAATGCAGCGCTTCCACAGCGCCTTACAGAATGGATCAGATTACTTTTTTTTAAAAGAAGTTGGAAACAGATTTAATGAAGACTTTCAGTAACTAGTGCAGTGGAAATTGCCAAGTGCAGATTCATAATCGCTCATTAGACTCGTTTACCCACATCGTCTCACCATTCTTCTTGTGCTGTCTATTCTTCAGCTCGAGGACTGTGACTATAAACCTCTGGACCCCAAAGACATCAGACTGCCCCCTCCCATGCCACCTAGTGATCGACTGCTTGCTGCTGTTGAAGCATTCTACAGCCCCCCATCCCACGATCGGCCCAGGAACAGGTACACACACCTCCACTCTGTCTCAGAGAAATCCGACTGAACCAGAATTTAGTGACGTTAGTGGCTGCTGTCAGCTGACTGGAAGGAATGAATGAAGAAGAGATTTAAAAACTTTAAAACCAATTGGACATTAACGTCAATAGTGAGCTGGGATGTACTGTAAAAAGTATCTACAAATAAACTGTCTTCATTAGTCCTCGCAGGACTCTACACTCACTTTTTTCCCAGGGAGCTCATACAGACCTTTACAGACACAGTCGAAATTTCTCAAATACAGTGTTTTTCCTTAATAAGCTGTCCTGCTCTGTGTAGTGCTGCAAGGTTTCTGATAGAAATGGCTGTAGGTTCATCTGGCTGTGGTTTGTTCCTCTTCCAGTGAAGGCTGGGAGCAGAATGGTCTGTATGAGTTCTTCAGGGCCAAGATGAGAGCCAGGAGGAAAAAAGGACAGGAGAAACGCAACAGGTGAGCTTCCTCTTCTCCAGAGGACTTCCTCATCCTTTGTGGGGAGGATGTCACTGTTGTGTATTAAAGGATGGAGACACCTGACCCACATGTACCTGTCAACCTCACCCCTCCCTGTATGGCTCTCTCTCTCTCCAGTGGTCGTGGAGGCAGTCGTTCCAGGAGTCACTCTCGCAGCAGAGGGAGGTCGTCATCTCGCTCCAGCTCTCGCTCCTCAAAGTCCTCCAGGTCACGGTCCCGCTCGTCCCGTTCCCGCTCCCGCAGCCGCTCCCGCTCCTACTCACGATCTAGGTCTGCACACACACACATCGCACACACATCTGAGTGGTAGCTTTATGCTGATGTGTACACACGGTACTGTACAGAAGTGAGGATGCTTTCAAAATAATGCCATGAATAATCATCATTTATCAGTTAATTTCATACAAAGTGCAGTTGACATAAAAAGCCTGAATCAAATCGATATTTGCTGTGACATGTGATTTTTCCATTTTACACATGGAGCTGAAGCTGTTGTGTTAATGAGCTGCTGCACTGTGTCAGCTTCAGTGGTTTCCATGCTTCAAATCTCCAGCTTCCCTCTTGCTGTGTTTCACTGTCCAACACACTTGGCCTAACGTGCTTTAACCTGCCTCTCTTTAGGTCCAGGAGCAGATCCAGGTCATCTCGGAGTCGCTCTCGCTCCAGATCCAGATCCCGTTCACGTTCGCCCACCAAGAGACGCCGTGGCCCCAAATCTCGTAGCTCCTCCCCTCCGTAAGTCCCCTTCACTGCACTCAGGTGCTTTCATAAAAGACTTTATTGTTAACTGTGGTATAGATGACCCCCCCCTCTCTCCTGCTCTCTACAGCTCCTTACCAGTGCTGGGTGGTCCTCCCTCCAAACTGTCTACAGATACCAGGCTAGGGGAGGAGAACAAGGGCCACCAGCTGCTGATGAAGATGGGTATGAGCTTTCTGTTTTCTCTTTGTTTCATCATTTAAACTAAATCAAACTTTCCAGTAAGAATATTTAAGATGGTTTTAATGTGATGGTTTTCCATCCTGAATTGTTCTGACTGAATGAACCACATCCATCCTTTCTTGTCTGCTGCAGGCTGGAGTGGCTCAGGTGGTTTGGGGGCCAAAGAACAGGGCATCCAGGACCCCATCAAAGGAGGAGATATCAGGGATAAATGGGACCAGTACAAAGGTGTGGGTGTGTCGTTGGATGATCCTTATGAGAACTATCGCAGGAACAAGAGCTACAACTTTGTCGCTCGCATGAAGGCACGAGAGGAAGGTATGTACACAGACCTCTCCACACTGCTCATACTTAACGGCTAGTGATTTAATTTTTATGGAACAGTTAGTTGACCGTATCACTTAGATTACCATAATTCTTTAACTAAATCCAACTGTTCTTTCTTTTCCTGCTTCAGTGAATCGGGAACCTCAGGAGGCTCCTCCCACTGACTGATGTCATCAACCTCACCAAGGATCTGAGTTTCAGAATGGTTTTTCAGATCTGTCAGATGTCCATTCAGGATTCTAGTCAGCAGCTTCAAACCCTTCCTCCCTCCACAGATACCAGTGACAATGCAAAGTACCACCACACCTGTGAAGCTTGTGAAGACGTGCACAACCTTTTTGCTTGGATGAGTGCCCCTTAGCAGACAGCATCAGAATAGCAGATGCATTTACACAAGTAACACAGCAGAACAGCCAGGATTTTTAATTCAGCAGTCTTTGCAAGGACACTGAAGTGTAGTAGTAGACTGAGACTTCCTCAACATTTAAGATATCTGCAGTAAAGAAATGGGACAAATTATGAGAAAAAATTGAGAAGAGAATAAAAATGAATGGACCCTCTTTAATTTATGCACAGGTCAACAGTTGAATGGGGGAGTATGTTAAATTATTTGCATTTTTCATTCTTTTCAAGTTGCTTAAACGATTAGTTCACCCAAATCAGAAAAAAAAATCTAATTTACCCCTCATGGTGTCTCCAATAAAAGGCTTTCAGTTTTATTTGCAGAGGATTTTAACAATAATTTCAATTTAAAAAAAAAAAAAAAAAAAACAAAAACAAAAAAACAACAACTTTTCTTATACTCACTATCCAGATTTATCAGTGGAAATCTGTTGTCTCTCTTGATGAAACTGCTCACTGGTGTCAGAGGTCTTATTCGTTGACGTCTCATAACTTCTGTAAATAAAACTGAAGATGTCTATATTATAGAGGTCACTAGGAGTAAGTGGAAACATTTTTTGTCATTTGTGTGAACCAACTTTTGTAGGATAAGAAGGTATGCTGGCTCCTGTTGGTTTTTCACTGCTGATTATTGTGATACTTTTTCATGTAATAACTTCTTCTATAGAGAAATGTAAGTCTGTCATTTAGTTGTAGTATTAAAATAAATCCCTCAATACAAAAAGTCATAAATATGAATTTGGTTGTATTTTTCTCTACAAATACACAAATCTTAAATAAACACAACTGTGACTCACAAATGTGCCTCATCTGTGAATTTGAAATGTTCAGTGAACAGTTTTCCTGACCTGCATCAGATTAGAGAATTCTGAATTTTGTTCCGCCATCATTAATATGTATTAGTTCAGTAACTTAGTTCAGCTCCACTGTGCTCCAGTATATGTGGTCTCCTTTTTTCTGCAATTTTCCTGAATTGAAAAAGTAAAGATGTGAATCTGCTTAAACAGGAAAATGTAGAAATCACAAAATAAATCCGGCTCATACTTGGGCCACATGCTTGTTTTCCTCTGAACCAATATAAGACTGGTTCTACGGCCCGAATCTGGCCCAATCTGCCAATACTGGAGGGTAACAGCCGGAATCTGCCCAGATGTAGAACTAGCCTATATGGGCCAGACAAGCTAACCATCTAGACATATGTTGGGCCAGAAGTTTCATTTCATTTTTTGTGGATTTAAAAGTCAAACTTTGCCTCATAATTTTGTCTCAATAGACTGCATCGTTATTTTCTAGTTTTTAAATTCTGTACATGAAATACAAAGTTAGACCCGCTCTTTTAACTCCCCTTTATTCTGAAAACAGGAAGTTTTACAGTTGTCAGCGGAAAACAGGTTGAGTTTACTTCCGGTTTCTTCTGTCCTCATTAACCCAGCGGCTCTGACAGGTGGATGCTGTCGGTACCGTTACATCTGTCTGCCGTTATAACCGGGTCGTGGTGGTTGAACACAGGACGTCACCGCTGAGAACAACATGTCGGCCAGCGCAGTGTACGTGCTGGACCTGAAGGGGAAGGTAAGACTCGGCCCGCCGTCTGCCTGGAGCACTGACTTAATGTAGCACGGAGAGAGGGTCAGGGAGTTTATACAGCGGGGAGGGGGGCGGACACAGTGACATGACTAACACAAGTCATTTTACCCTGTTGATAGGATGATAGAGCAGGTGCTGTCAGGCCAGTCAGAGCGCCCCCCCACCCCCCCACACGCACAGTAGGATGCTCTCATGTGATGCATATTTCCTCTGCAGAAGAGAGTCACATTATTTTCAATTTTTTTTCAGCAATGGCTTAACATGCTCTTTTCTCTTGGAGCAGGAGTTAACTTGATGTCTGTCTGTTAGTCTGACACTCAGAGCACCTCTGTTGTTATTCAACTGCCAGACCTGATGACACCAGTACGATCCAGAGTTCCCTGTTGTTACTGGTCTCTACAGGCTACAGCTGTCTTGGTGTTAGTGCTGCCATAAAGAGGAGGGAGGAATCCAGTGGATACAGATGTTTATTACCCATAACACAATTAAACACACAGCACAACCAGAAATAGAAAACACATTCACAGAACACGTTACAAGACAGTAGAAATGAAAAGTCGGGCCATGTTAGGTGTCCTGTGTTGTTTGTAAGTAATTTTTTCTGTCGTCTGTGCAGATTTTTTTCTAAATGCTGCACATTTGTTGTCAGATCGATGAAGATGTTTTCTTCATTTGCTTGTGTTTTGTCTGATGTGTGTGTTGAGCTGTCGGGAAGCTGTAATCAGGAGATGAGAGAAGATAAACTGATCCACAGGAGAGAAAACATCAGCAGAACAGAAAGCAGAGCAGACACTGAGAAGTAGAAAAAAGAAAACCTCAAAGTTAAATCTGTGCTTCCAGATTCTCAGATGTCTCTCATTTGCTGCTTTTCACTTTCACATCATTGTAAACTGATTTAGTTTTGAGCTGCTCTGAGTCTGGGGAAATTATGATGAGCATCATCACTGTTTTCATACGTTTTATGGACCAATCACACCACAACTGTTTGATTAAAAGTAAATTAAGAATAATCAATAGATTAATTGATTACGAAAGTAATTCTTAATTACAGCCCTAAAGCTGATCAGAGTAATGTTGAAAGCAGTTCTGTTGTTGTGTGTTACATGAGACCAAAGTCTTCACTTGTGTTACTGAACCTTTAATAAAGTAATTTACTAATTAATCTGTGCACAACAATAACATGATTACATTTTTCTTATATGAATCTGTTGACAGTGAATGTGAAAAGTTTCCATCCCATTATCACTCGGCCCTGATCCCCCACACCATCACTGTTATATCATCAGTGCTTTAGTCAAATGTTTCTATTCATTTTTCAGGTTTTGAGTGTTCAATACATTGATTGTGAGATGCGGTTTATCCTTGTCAGCACAGTCTGTATATTTTCAGCTGCTCAAACAGGTGAGCAGTAGTTAGTGGTGAGGGATTGGGCATTTCTAGTATGTGGAAAGATAATGATAAAACTGTTCTGGAGAAGATGACTGTGGGATGAACCTTGTGCACTTCTGAATCAGTTCTTTGTGCTTATTGTAGATTGTTATTGTCAGCAGTAACAGAAACCTGGTGTGTAGCAGGTGTGTGGGCTTTGGTATGCTAGAGGAGAGAGAAAGGTGGCAGTTTGCTTTGAGGCTACAGATTTTTTTTGGTTGTTATGACTGAAGTAATTTTTGTTGAATTCCTCGAGTTCATATTTCCTCTGTTTGTTAATATTTTTATTAATAAATCTAACTTTTTGAGCTCACACACTCCGGCCTGCCGACCTGCTTTTTTGGAACATCCCTTAAAAAGTTTCCAGCGCCCAGTGTTTCATCTGCCTTTTATATGCGGTGGCAGCTCTACAGTGAGTAAATAGTTGCTAATACAGTAACTGCTCAGCAGCAGCTCCAGGTCTTCTGATAGGAGAGGTGAGACTGAGCTCAGGCAGCAGAGATGTAGCAACAGAGACGAAACACAGAGTGAAGAGAAACTTGTCATATCTTTCAGGTGCTGATCTGCAGGAACTACCGGGGAGATGTTGACATGTCAGAGATCGAGCACTTCATGCCCATCCTGATGGACAGGGAGGAGGAAGGAAACCTGTCTCCGATCCTGGCCCATGGAGGAGTCCGCTTCATGTGGATCAAACACAACAACCTGTACCGTATCTTTGACAGGTCCTCAGGGTCCTGGATCATCCTCTTTACAAAGTCCACTCTGAGTCACTGTGAGAAAATGGTCTGTAAGAAAAGCAAACACATGTAATTCACCTAAAAGGATTTTTACTGAATCAGTTCTTCAGAGTGAAACAGTCAGAACACATCTATAAAGGGCATCAAGGGAGTACTCTTCACTGGAAACCACAGGACACTTTGTAGAATGTTATTGTCCCTTAAATCTCTCAGTGTGGTCTGATCATCCAGCTGCTGAAATCCAGATGAGAGAGAACAGAGGTGCTGAGAAACATGTTGAGCCACGACTCAAGGACAAAAATGATCCAGAGATCATTTTATACATAGATATTTACAATCAGTCTGTGACTGTTAATCAAATATAAGGCTGTAAAAAACAGTGTCAGTAATAATACAATGCAATATTTATTATAAAGTTTATGACTAAATGTAATTTCAAGTGCTGGTAGTGTATTTGTATTACATAGTATTTCTATTTCAGTTGTTACAACCACCTTCACAGTAATATGTTACTTGAAACAGCACTGGCATGTCTTTAGTTTGGTTGTTGTCGTTGTTGAAGACCCTCCGACATCATGTGCCCCCACCCCTCATGATGTCATGCTCTCTCTCTGCAGGTGACTGTAGGTTTCCTGCAGTGAAGGTGGTGTGGGGGCAGATGCATGTCACTGCTTTGCTTTTGCTTTATTGCAGCAGACACAGTTTTGTTTGTGTGTCTCAGTCTGCTGCCACTCTTTAACCAGATGTTTTATATCACATTCACACCTGGTCGCTTGTCACCTTAACCACTTGCATCACCAGTTGTAGCCACGACTAAGAAGAACGCCTGTGTCTCCCTGGTTTTCTCTTTTCTCTATAAAATCATCCAGGTAAGAGTTATAAGCATTCAGAAAACAATATCAGAAACAGACCAGCAGAATGATCAATAATCAGTCTGATGTGAATTTGTATCTTGACTTAGTAAGGGCGGGGTGGGGGTGGGGGACTTCCACATCCTCTTTAAGCAAATTTATGTTTATTGAATTTTAAATGAATGAATGAAAATGAAATGATATGGCACATTTTTATACATTTGCTGAAGGAATACTGATGAATATTTTCCAGCGAAGCCTTCCAGAAATCATTTTGTGTATGAACATTTTGCTAATGCATGTTGATTTCTATCTGTTGACAGGATAGCGCCACTGGATTTACTAATATTCACTGATAATCAATAACAAAGTAACGAGGATGTTAATCAATATGTCTGTAACTGTCATCAACCTGATGTTTTCTCTGTCCAGCTGATGGAGAACCACAGTGAATCTGTAGATGAGTGTATCATGAACTGTTGGTTGTATTTGTACTGAATATCTTAGTGAAACCAGCGTCTGTGACTGGCCACATGATAAAATGATGAAGAACCTTCAGCATATGAATGGATGAATGGCCCGACAGGAGCTCACAACACAGTCTGTGTGTGGTGAAAGAGTCATTAGACAATCAAAGTCAAAGTGATTATCAGTCATTGGAATTCAAAATGTAAACATTAGCAACAGAATGAATGAAGATGAGCTGCTTCAGCACATGAAGACAACTGCAGTCTGCTGAGTCAGCACCTCACTGATCACAGTAACAGTTTTTGGCCACTTAGTTATGGTGATTTGATTTGATTTACTCTTTATTTGGCATCAGAACAGTAACTTTTACAGAGGTACCGCTGCGGTGACTCTTTAAAATGCAGCCTGTATCTGTGGATGTTAATGTTTTCATGATTTTGATTCTGCCTGCATTATGGTCAGATCTAAAGATGCAGATTAAGTAGGCGGAGCTAGTGGACTTGGGTCTTGTGTGTAAAAGTCTCCTGTAGCATCGCTGCTGTATTTAATCAACTTATTTGTCCTTTGGAGAAGAGGTTTCGTCTGTAGCCTTGTGTCCAGCTGTTTGAGAAGGCAGCAAGGGACGGGTGAGTTAGGCGACTTTTCAGCTTGCTGAGCTAGAATGTTACAGATGTTTACAGCTGCTGAGATCTGATCACAGTGTGGGCTGGACCATATAATCTGATCACATTTGAACAGTAAAGTGTGTTGACACCTGCTTTAAAACGGATACAAATCTGTGTCAGTTATCCTTGACTTGTAAACTAACCTTCATGTGTAAAATGACTGGTGTGTCCCTCTGACTGCACACATCAGAAAAGCCAGTTTATGATTGGAGCCTTAACTGGACTGTGGCTTTGGTGCTGTGATGCACACAGCGCGTGGACACATGCTAACACTGTGTGTGTGTGTGATCCTGGCTCCGCAGGTCTTCTCTGAGTACTTCAAAGAGCTGGAGGAGGAGAGCATCAGGGACAACTTTGTCATCATCTATGAGCTGCTGGATGAGCTGATGGACTTTGGTTACCCTCAGACCACAGACAGCAAGATCCTGCAGGAGTAAGAAGCCCGGGACAGGTCACAGCCTCTGACATCTGCTGTTTCATCAGACATGTTATGATCCTCGGCTCACTGCTGTGCTGGCATCTGTTTGTTGTTTGGTTTTCTTGTCTTTCTTATTAGTTATCAGAGTTAGAACTGCTCTGTGAGTCCTGGGTGATCAGTTTATCTAACCCGCTGTCCCCTCTGGCAGATACATCACTCAGGAGGGCCACAAGCTGGACACCGGGGCCCCTCGTCCTCCCGCCACTGTCACCAATGCTGTGTCCTGGAGGTCAGAGGGCATCAAATACAGGAAGAATGAAGTCTTCCTAGACGTCATAGAGTCAGTCAACCTGCTGGTGAGAACACATATACATGCTTTTAACTACAGTACTATTAATGATGGTCATTAACTTAGGACTCGAATGCTCTCACTTCTCACGTAACACTATTACTCTTTTCATTCACTTTCTAATGACAGTCAGCTCTACTTTGTAGTTACTGTAGATGAAACACTTTCTGTAGGTATTTCACAATAAAACCCTTCCGCAGGTACAAAATACATACTCCCACTGGTAGGCTTTTATTGTGAAACATGAACAGCTTAATATAAAAGTGTGGTCGTCTCCCTCGGATACATTTGATGCACAGGTCTGTAGTGGATCTGCGGGCAGCAGCTGGTTAGTGATGGATAAGTTAATGTTAAGTTTACTGCATATTAAGTTTTATTTTTCAAACTGAACACTTCCAAAATATTTGTTTTTGTTGTTTACAACACTTGTATTTTGTGTTGTATATATTTTAATATATAGCTCAGTTTACAGACAGTTCAATATACAAAGTTACTTTAAAGTGTGTTCAGCATCATGTTCAGCACCATGGACAGCTGACGTGTGTTCACTCTCTCCTCAGCTCTGCTCCGTCCTGTAAAGATGAGCGTTTATCAAAACTCTGTCACGTTCGTATTTAGCTCTCATGACCCAGGAGCGGACGCAGTCACTCAGAATGTGTATAAAAGGTGTTTTAAATATGAAAGGGTTGTGGGGAGATGAAAGGAGAGGGTGAGGCTGAGGCAGGTCAGGGCCGGACAGGTGAGGTATTGCCGAAGAGTGGCTGGAGTTGAACACAGACACACAGACCAAGGAGGCAGAGACACAAGGAGAACACAGGGAGAAAACAAATTCCCATCCAGGGCCGTGACAAACTCTCTTCGAAAGTGCTCCTCACTTCTAAGATCAGTTATTACTGGGAAACATGGCTGCTGCTCTTTATTATAAAAAATAATTCCAGCCCTGTCTTCAGCTATGATTTATAGAGTATCTTTTTTGAGAATCTACAGTAAATACAAGACTGTTTTTACTGTTTTGTGGCAGGATTTTCAGATAACTTAATGATGCTGCTGCTGCATGTGACTGCCTGATTCTCTTTCTGTGGCTCTGCACACAGACTAACCATCTGTACTCATGTTTGATCTTTTAGTTTGTTCCTCAGATCAGGTAACTGTACTGAGCACACAGCTGTGCTGGTGGAAGCTGTTATCAGTGCGGCTCGATCTGAGGACACATCTTGCCTTTATGACACTCCCGATTTATAGAAGCACTATAACCCTAACATCACCAAATTAATGTTGTTCAAATATTCATTTACTGATGAAACAGCATCTCCAGAACAAAGTGTCCTGAGCTGGACTGTGTGTGTGAGATGTACTGTTGTAGACCTACAGCTCTCTCGCCCTGCTCCAGGTCAGTGCCAATGGAAACGTGCTGCGCAGTGAGATCGTGGGCTCCATCAAGATGAGGGTGTTCCTGTCTGGGATGCCGGAGCTGAGACTGGGCCTCAACGACAAAGTCTTGTTCGAGAACACCGGACGTGAGTAACTCAACCACTGGGAAACATGGATGAAATAAATCACTGCACACACTTTTAATTCTGTGTCTCTTCATCCTCTCTGTCCTTGTCCTCTGTCTGTCTGTGACTCCACTTGCTCCGTCTCGTCTTCAGGAGGAAAGAGTAAATCAGTGGAGCTGGAGGATGTGAAGTTCCATCAGTGTGTCCGTCTGTCTCGCTTTGAAAATGACCGCACCATCTCCTTCATTCCTCCTGACGGGGAGTTTGAGCTCATGTCCTACCGCCTCAACACACACGTGAGTCAGCAGCAGCACATCACACATACAGATCGCCATCCTCACAAAAACACTTGGCCAATATGAAAACTGCTACATCTCCTCTTTGTCCTGTTTCTGCCGGCAGACAACAGAACTGAACTCCTGACTTAGTTGTTCTCCTGCTGCTGCTGTCAGACACTGAATTAACATAAAATAGAAATTTGATTGTGGCTCATAAATCTGTCCTGACAAATGAAGAGCTGGATTTTTTCGGCATTAAAATGACAACGTTTTGAACAGCTTAATATTATCTGACCATAGTTCTCTGATGGCATCAGCACACTGACAGGTTAATGACAGCTGCCGAGCTGTGTGATGGTCTTTACTGAGACCACAAAGAGCAGGAGGAGACTGAACGAGGTCATTTACCTCCCTCCTGCCTTTTATCTGACCATAGACGTGAACAGCTAGTTTTTTCTGTGTGTGTGTGAAGTCAAGTCGAGCAGTATATGCTACTCAGCTGTTCACGCCAGAAGCCGGAAGCGCATTTCTCTCTGCTGGTCAACAGATGATTCTGCTCTCTCTTAATCACACATAGAGCTGATCTTTATAATAACCTCATGGATTGATAACACAGAGCTTTAAATACATATTATATTACCTAAATTTGCATAGTCAGGTTTACAATGATATACTGAGGGGGACAACCTTCAGAAAAAGGGCGGGACATGTCCCCCCTGTCCCCGCTGCAGTTTCCACCTATGCAACAATAGAGCAAAACAAAACCTGTTATGTTATAATGAGAATGACAATAACTACTACTACATGTAACTGTACACATAAATAACTGACTGCACACATTTTGATAAAAACTTTGTTGTAGGAAAGATAATCTTAGTGCAGTAAAACGTACATACATACATTACATATATACAGTGTAGGTGTAGTGGCATGTGAGGTATATGAGCATGGATAAATAGCAGCAAAGTCAAATAGCAGCAGGGTCTATGTGGAAGTCACTTTATGAGTGTGTGTGCAGCAGAGGTGATCAGTGTGTATGTGTGTGTGTGTGTGTCTGTGGATATGTGTGGGGGTGGGGCGGTGGGAGAGGGACAGGGATGGTTGGGAGTTCAGGAATTGAACAGCCTTCTCTGACTACACTGTTTGATATGACGGCTGTGTTTCATGTCCTCAGGTCAAACCACTGATCTGGATCGAGTCAGTCATTGAGAAACACTCGCACAGTAGAATCGAGTACATGATCAAGGTAAAGTCCCAGGCTGCTCTTTACGGGGTCAAATAACATGTAGAGCATGAAATATAACAGACTGTTATACATTCTCTTCATCTCTCCATCTTTCCTCTCTCCTCCTCCTACAGGCCAAGAGTCAGTTCAAGAGACGGTCCACAGCCAACAACGTGGAGATTCACATCCCAGTCCCCACCGACGCTGACTCACCTAAATTTAAGACCACCGTGGGGAGCGTCAAGTGGATCCCAGAGAACAGTGAGATAGTCTGGTCCATCAAATCCTTCCCAGTACGTCAACCACTCATCTACTTTTCACTGACAATCAATACCATGAATTAAAACACTGCATCATGACAGTGTTAGACATAGTGTGATTATCTTGTACAGACAGACGACATATCATCAGTTTATTCTTGCTTTCTGCACTGAACCCAGTGAATACACTGCTTAACCTGCTCCAATGTGGTTTCAGGGTGGTAAAGAATATCTCATGAGGGCCCACTTTGGCCTGCCCAGTGTGGAGGCAGAGGACAAAGAAGGCAAACCTCCCATCAGTGTCAAGTTTGAGATCCCCTACTTCACCACCTCTGGCATCCAGGTAAGAAACAATTTGTTTATCTTTGCTCTGTGAGTAGAGCCTGAATCCAGATGTTCAGAGGTCTTGTAGTTCCTCTGTAAAGCTGCAGGTGTTTCTGGTGTTTGTATAAATGTGTTTGCAGCCACCGGATGGCGCTGTTGTAAAAGGAATAGAGACAGAAGGAGAGTGCAGACAGTGGACACCATGCTTCACACACACACACACACACACACACACACACACACACACACACACACACACACAAAGTCTCTTCACTAGAGCTGCTCCATTATGGCAAAAATCATAATCACGATTATTTTGATCAATATTGAGATCACGATTATTCAGCATGATTTCTCATTGGCTTTGGAAAAAGACTGAAATTCCCCCCCCTCGACCTGAAACTAAATTTCTAATCAACAGTTCAGATGATGCTCTGTCCATTTCAGACTGAATTTAAGAACAATCCGCTGGATAACGGTCAGTTTCATCATTAAGCCATGTTGGTATAATGTAGTGTAACTCTGTGTGTGGGCTCCAGGCTGCAGCGTACAATACACCTGACGCAACGACGGATGAGCTACCAGCCAGTTGGTAGGAAACTGTACATTTCACCAGACGTGTCCAGAGGTTGCTCGTGTTTCCTCGCATGACAAAGACTGAACACACTTCAAAACGTTGAGTTGTTTCTGTTGTCACTAAGTGCAGGGTCTGTGTGTGTGTGTGTGTATGTGTGTGTGTGTGTGTGTGTGTGTGTGGTGTGTGTGTGTGTGTGTGTGTGTGTGTGGTGCACGGTGCTCCAAGGTGTGTGAGAGTGCTGCCCTGCCCCTCACACACATGGTCAGAGAGAGAGATGCAGATGGACTTCTGAGTAGGAAAAAGTGAAAATGCATCATCATCAGAAATGATGATGATTGTGAATGTGGAAGAGAACTTTTTTGTTGCAATAACAAAAAATTTTCCCTAATTTCTTTAGTGCTGAGAGAGGAACTGAAATTTGTTGTGAAATGAAATGCGGCACAATAATAGTTTTCTCTTGATTATCTTGTTTTTATAATCTTTGGAGGCCAAAATTATAATCCAAAATAAAATTTGATTAATTGCCCAGCCCTACTCTTCACCAGTGACTGAACACAGGCAGTGGACACACACTGTAATAGACACATTTAACACAGCGAGTGTAAGATATTTGGATCCAGTTTCAAAACATCAGAGCTCAACACACAGTCCCTGTATAGAGTTGAAAATAGAGTTGAATCCTAAAAATCTGCATCAGGTTTAATTTATACTTGTATGATATGAAATTAACCTGAGCTGCTGTATTGATTAAAATAGAGGCACATCTGTTCCATCTGACTGAAAAACATGGCTGAAATGCCTCCTGTGCAGACAAGCCTTTAGTATGTACACACACATACACATAGACTTTCAACAGGTACTGTATGTTCAGACTGGAAGCGGTGGGAACGGCAAAGTGACCGGAAGTCATTAATTTTTTATGTCAGCGTCTGTTGGCAGCGAGCAGCGGTGATGTGGGCGTCAGGAAAAATTTATGTCCAGGCAACTTCATGGTAATGAGCTATGACGCGGTTTGGCGACAACCAATCATAATGTAGAAGTGATCCGCTCTAGAAAACACAAGAGAACACAGTCGTGTAAACTCTGGTTCCCATCAAATGTTTGTTCACAGTGGAGGAGAAATTGATCATTTCAGTGACAAGTTTCCTCGTCCTTTACGACGTGTCCCTGTGTGTTTACAGGGACTTAATAAAAAAACAATGCTGGACAAAGGTGTCTGTCATTGTAGGTGTTCCAGGTGAGTTGGTGAAGTGAAGCCTGTAATATATTTTGTGGAAATAGATGCTAAACAGTGTTGCTTGATAACTTGATGCGAATCAGTCGGTAATGTTAACATCACTACTTTAAAGCTCCATATTTTCCTCTTCTCCTGTGTTTTTTTTGAAGTGTTGATCCTTTTAAAGGAGATGGTTTTTGGTTCTTAAAACCACAAATATATCTTCTAAAGTTTAGAAGATATATTTTTAGAAGATATATTTGTGGTTTTAAGAACCAATAACCATCTCAGTGTAGTTTTACATCTCCTCTCTCAGGCTTCTCTCTGGAGCTCTTGTAACAACAGGTCAGTGAGCCAATCAGATGAGAGGAGGCTCTGAGCCTCTCTTCTGATTGGCTGACTGTTTTCTGATTGATCCAATAAAAATATAGCAGATTTCAGGTAAACACTCAGAGGAACCAAATCCTGCAAGGTTGGATGGTGGGTGCAGGTGGGTGGGGCTTGCTTTGTTGTGACATCACAAAGTTCCAGAAGTCCTGACGGCTGGTTTTAAGGCTCAGTTTCTGAATACAGGCTGTGTGCATTTCTCTGTGGACTGAGGCTTTGATACTTTCGCAGTATTAATATAGAACCTAGACCTGCTTTATAATAAAACAGCACATGGACATCTACCTTTAGACTATATGGATCTTTAAAATATTTCATAGAATTAACTTAGACCCTGATTTTGGTCAGTTGGCACAAAGATGCTTTCTGAACAAACTTGCTAGCTGCCTTTTTAGTCTATGTCAGAGCGCCCACAAACTTCCCCAGCGTCCTCAGCAAAGCAGGCAGAGTGAATTTTGTCGCTCTCACTACTTTCGGTCTGAACTGACAGTCAGACACTACAAAGCCATTTGCAGATACAGAAGGAAAATCACTTGTTCGCACAGTGCTTTAACTTATCTTTGATACAAAAATAGATAATGAAGATGCGGGGGTGCGCAGGGGAAGCTTGCAACTTTCGGCTGCTACGCACTCTGCCATACCCTGATCACCAGAGACTGATACATGTAGGCTCCTCTCCTCTCACATGCAACCTGTAGTGTTTCTGACAAAGTGAAGACCAGCAGAGATTTGTTGAATCAAAACACAGGAACATGACTTGATGTGACAGTTTTCAGTCTGGTCTGTTGTCTGAGTTTATGAAAGTCCCCTGTATGACATCATGACTGTTTTTACTTCCCGAAAGCTTTGGAAATACAAGGTGTAGGTATAGTGTATCAGTGTAGGTATGCATGCCGTTTCAGCACAGCTACAGATGGATTCACAGTTTGATTGGAGCGGTTTAAAAACACTTGTGTGCAGCCAAGTAGTTGAGAGGCCTGAGAGCAGCTGAGCTGTGGGGCTCCACATGTCTGAGCTTCATCAGCGTACAGGAGTGCTGGTTCTAACCTGGAGAAAGAGCTGCACTGAGGCTTTGTAAAGGGGCAGAGCTCTGTAATGTTTGGGCTATAATATTTTATAGCCCCAGCAGCTGGAACCTGTGTCCTCTGGGTCATGCTTACAGCGGACGCACAATAACACACTGTTCTACTCACATGTTCTCATCCACTCTGTTTCTTTATCAGCAGGACTTTCAATGTGTTAGATGTTGATGTTGATGTTGCCTGAGGTAGCTCATCGTTATCTTTCAGCGTGTTTTGTGTTATTCCTAGTGTCCAGTCATGTGATGGTCATGTGATAATGCAGTTGATAGTCCAGCTTTGTAAATCACAGTGTGCGTCCTTGCTGAGTGCTGTTAACTTGAGCTGAACTTTAAAATGCATTTCTGCACACAGAATAAAGACTGGGGATATTCTCCTGTATCTCTTAGGGCATTTTCAGACTGGGAATACATGACATTGATGGCTTCATTTATTTGTTGAAGTTGGTCAGTTGTTCTCTGGTTGTTTAAATCTCCTGGAGTTTAAGCCTCTGATGTGTTGATAAGTTGATTTTGTCTCCGGATATCTCAGATAACTGACCAATGATAAAGACAATTGCTGAGCTTGAGTTTTGGGATTTGTAACAAAAAGCAGATCATCATCAACATATGATTATATTCTCTGGTCCATGCCTGCTAATTTGCCTCCAGTGATGTGACTGTGTTTTATGGTTGCCTGAAGGGTTCAAGAGGATGTGTAAAAAGAAGCAGAGATAAAGGGCAGCACCCATGAAGTGTCTCTCTGTGGACTGGAAATGGATCAGAGGAACATCCATTAATCATAATCTTGGCCACAGGGAGTTTCATACCTTTATCCAATCCCTTATCCCAAATGATCCCTAAGGCCAATTCACTGCAGCACATGGAGCAGATATTCCTACTCTGACCTATTCAAGGCTTTTTCTGCATCTGTCAAGAAAAGGAAAGAATTTGACTTCAAGTGGTCTGGGAATATTACACAATATTTAGCAGCTGTCACATATTTATATGAGAATATCTATTAAGAATAACAACCATCTCAAGCTCAGAGAGTAAGAACTGCTCCCGTCTGTGAGCTCGGAGCTTGGCTAGTAATTTACAGTCCACTCAGATTCACTTTATTCATCTGTATGATGCTCAATTCTCTGGAAGTTTAACCTTCAGATGATGTTAGTGGTGTTGGAGGAGGAGGGGAGAGTTATCTGTTCCTCTAAATTTCATGAACTTGAATGAATGAATTCAGTTTTTTACTAAATTAGACAAGTTTTTTACTTTAACTCCAAAGTCATTAGACATATTCATAGATTATTAAAGATATGATTCCTCTGTGATGCAGCAGTTATGGTTCCAGTGCTTCCTACAGTTTATTAGAGAAAGAAAACAATAAAAATATGTACAAGTTGCCAACCAGACAGCAGCTTCAATGGTTTTAAAAGTATTAATCAGTTCATACTGAGTGTTTAATTTCAATAAACCCCAAATTCATACATTCATTCATTCAGTCTTTCTCAGATGTCAGGTCGTGGCCTCTAGAGAATTTTGTGTGGATCTAAGAAAATTCCAAACATGGCCAATGTGATTAATTAAATTAAAAATGAAATTGAAATGATCTTAAATCACTAGAAAACATCATGTTGATATGAGTGGTTCTTGAAACAGGCCCATGAATGTAGACTGTCTTGTGTTCAGTGTTCCCGTCCATCACAGTGTGTTTCTGGATCTCAGCAGTCACTGTAGTGAGAACAATGTGGACATGACTGACAGAAATCTGTGTCAGGACTAAAAGAGGAGCCGAGTTGTAACAAACCGGAATTTGTCACTTAATTGAAGCTCAGTGGTCGGGCTGTTTATGTGCTGCCCTGCTGGGTTTGGTTCAGGAGACCGGTAACAAGGCAGCCATTGTCTTTGCTGTTGGTTTAGTTTGAGTGTAATAATAAACTCCGGAGAGTCAGTTGTTGAGAGCTGAACCGCAGACCTCCACCAGGCCTCACTGTGAACCCCGAGCTACAGACGCTGCCTTCAATTAGCCCGGGCATTTTCATCGTCATGAACCCAGATCCACTTCTAACCCGGCCGCACTCACCTCACAGGCTCAACCTCAACTAATGGCACCTTGTAAAGACAGAGACAAGAGCAGAGGCGGGTGCCGGAGAAGCCACAGTTTTCTCAAAATAACTGTGTGGACTTGCATCAATGGAGACATCATTAGAGAGATGCTGCCATTAGCTGCTGTAAGGCCTGCTATTACTGAGAGATCACTGGTGATGAGGAGCTATTATGTGGCCTGAGGCAAGACCCCCAAGGTCCCTGCTACTACCACACACTCACACACACACACACACACACACACACACACACTCACACATATTTATTGTGTGTGTTTCTGTCTTAATCATAGAGTGGTGAACATCAGCACATATCAAAAGGCAGTAAAATCACACATCTGAAAATCCCATTCCTTCAGATAATAGTTACCACAGCAGCTGAACGGCCGATCACTACTTAAAGGAAACTTTTGTCAAGTACAAGTAAAAATGTGCTCAGATATAAGTACAAAGTCAGTTAGTAGTACTGTCAGTGAATGTGCTACTGTGTTACATTTTTTAAAGGTGAGGGGTAAAACATATTATATGGTGATAATAACACTATGAAACTTAAGAACATCTATAGGCTAGTAGGTGTATATGTAGGTGTGTTGGTATTTCAGTGCATAAACATTGATCTCAGGTATGAACAGCAGTCTGTGCATACAACTGATAATTACTAATATACACTCAGTTGCCAGTTTATTAGGAACATGTAGCTAAAACCGGTGTAGAGTAATAGTAAGAGTCCAGCAGTAGATCATCCTTCATGAAGGTTATAATGTTCAGTTGAGGAGAGGTGTGATTTAACTGTGTGATCAGTCTGGAGGATGTAGAGTGAGGAACTGTTACATTATACACAGAGGTGTTCCTGTTCTTTAGCAGACCTTCATTGATATGGATGGGGTGGACAAAATAATAGAAACACCTGTGGCAATAGTTTTGTGTTGGCATATTGGTTTCCTTGATTACTAATAATCAGTATTAGAATTTGCCCTGAAAAAACCACATTGGTCGACCCCTGGTATATTTCCGTGTGTTTTGCCTTTATTAGATGGAGACAGTAGAAATACAGAGAGGAAGTGTGGGAAGAGAGAGAAAGAGGTATGATGTCACAGATTACAACAGTGTCCATCTGGAATCAAACTGGTGACACTGCAGTTACGTGGTTTGCATTTAACCACCACCAGCAGGACCAGGCCCCACAGTTGTACTGGAAATGACATATGTGTTGACAACAGGGGGCAGGAAGAGGCACACTGTGAGTGACACTCTGTCAGAAATACAACATAAATAAATAAAAGGAAGTAAAACAAATGTATAAAACAAGGAAAAACACAAGGAAAGCATAGTAAATATACTGTAAGCAGAAACGTGTGTACATACTAACAAAGACAAGAAAACGTCAACGAGTAAATACACGATTAGCTTTCAGATCTGACAGATCTAGGAGAGCCAATGGATGAGGTCTGTAATGTGAGGCGGGGCCTGACCATTAAGAGCCTTAAAAGTAAGCAACAAGGTCTTCAACTGAATTCTGAAGTGAACAGCTGTTAGAGATATTATGTTTCCTGATGATGTCTCCGAGGGGGAGCATGTATAGGCCGAATAGGACTGGCCTGAGGATGGAACCCTGGGGAACCCTGTAGGTGACAGGGGCAGAGGAGGAGGAGAACTGGTCTATAGCCACTGAAAAGGTCCTGTGTTTAAGATAGGATCCAAACCAGTTTAAAGCAGTATACCAACCCAGTGTTCAAGAGGAGTCAAAAAGGATGTCATGGTCAACTGTATTGAAGGCAGCACTAAGATCTAGTAAAACTAGAATCAGATTTTCCCCAGAGTCAGCAGCGAGCAGTCGGTCATTAGTCACCTTTAACAGAGCTGTCTCAGTACCGTGGAGGGCTTTGAACCCTGATTGGAATGGATTTAAGATATTGTTGGTATTCATCATGTGCATCACGTCAAGTGTGGGGTTTGGATGTCACATAGATCCAGCAGTAAGAATGAAATCACCTCTCCAGCTGAGAGAGACGTGGTCTTGGCCTGTGAGGTTCTCTGGTACATGGACTGTAGGACTGTGCAGATGGATGTTCCCCCGCTGGAACCTGATTTCCCAGAGCTGAAAATCATCCGCCTCCATATGGAATGGATAAAAATATCAGCTATGTGACTGTGTGATTTGAGTTGCTCTGTGGGAGAACATTAATTCAGTGTCACATCTCTCCACCACTCTGACTTCCTGACCGACTGGTTCCAGCTTTTTAATCTCTGGCAGAGATTTAAGAGGCACTTCCTCTTCCTTTCTTCCTCGATGTTTGTCTCTGTGAACATGTGCTCATATCTGTGTCTTTGGTGCATGTGATGATGTTTCCATTGTGTGTTAATCCTAACTCTGGTGTCTGCTCTGTATTTGGCTCTGTGTTGCTCCTCCATTGTCTTTCTTTCCCTCTCTGTCACCACTTCATTCATGCTCTCTGGTTTTGTCCTCGCTGGTGTTTTCATGACATTTACATTTGGCACAGAAGCCTGGAATCATACTGAGGTTTGAATAATAACAAACAAGCTCAGGGCTGTTTACTCCCACAGTTTGTGGTTTGGTGAACAAAAATCAGTTATGCTTCATTATGCAGTGAGTAGATGTTGTGCCCTCTGAATGCATTGAGCTTTTGAGCACACTCCACCATGTTTCCCAGGATAACTGAGATATGCCTCTGCCTGCTGGAGGTTTATTAATTTTGTGGGTTTCTACTATAATTCATCCTCTGTGGGAAAACACTGCAGTTTCTGTTGGCTCCGTTTGGCTGCATGACACAAGATACACATTTACATTTCAACAAGTCCCAAACAATAACGAGGGTAATTCAGATTTTTTACAACTTGGGTTTCATTTTCAAGTCAGTTATTTCTCTCAGTAATAAAAGAAACAAGTTATCACCAAGTTAACAGCTGAGATCTGGGAACATGGTGAAATCACTATAAAGGTCAGACAGTCAGACTGGTTGGAAACAAACCAGTGTGTTAGTTCAACTTATTTGAAAGAAAACAATAAAATTTCCATTTTATAATTGTCTGTTAGTCAGGATTATCTTTCCTGTGTCCTGTATCCATGACCTCTGCTGCTATGTTACTGTAAGAAGCTGCACTTTTCTCTAAACTGAGGTTTGAATTGAAGGAATTGAGATTATTTGTTTTTTTTTAGTTAAATCTAAAGGTCCATATAGTATACAGGTAGATTACCATGTGTTGTTGATTATAGATCAGGTCTAGGTTCTATATTAATACTGTGAAAGTATCAAAGCCTCAGTCCACAGAGAAATGCACACAGCCTGTATTCAGACACTGAGCCTTAAAACCAGCCGTCAGGACTTCTGGAACTTTGTGATGTCACAACAAAGCAGTCACTGCTCTCAGCCAACATGTCACATGTTTGTTCATCAGGAAAGTAACTGAGTACTGTCACTAAAACACTGTATTTGATTACACTTTCAAGGTGGCTGAGAATTCACTATGTTTCCAATCTCACTTTCTGCTTCACCACATCTGTCCAACACCTGCACAGTGTGGTGTAACTTTTATATCAAAACACGTAATCACTTCATAAAAACAGCATTCCTCAGCCATCTTTAAGCAATTACAACGTGCTAAGATGGACCACTGACAACTTCAGCTGCGTCCACAGAGGTTAATGTGACTCAGAAACATGAGGCAGACTGACTCTGCTTGACTCTGCCCTGTGTCCCTGTACAGGTACGCTACCTGAAGATCATCGAGAAGAGCGGCTACCAGGCCCTGCCCTGGGTCAGATACATCACTCAGAATGGAGGTAAGGATCACACACACACACACACACACACACACACACACACACACACACACACACACACACCTTTGTTTTACTTTATTCATGAATAGAATATATGTCATGTGAAAAAAAACAGTTCTGACCTGTACTGGTGGTTCCATCTCTCCTGCAACATTTCTCTCATCTGGTTCTGTTTTGCTGTCTTCTTTAACAAAACCAAACAGATCCCTTAATGAATAAATTATACACTAGCCTACGGGTATTTTACACACATAAGATATCATTAGGCAAGTTCTTTGTAACTTTTAATCCAGTGACACTAGTCTGTACATCCATGGGTACACTGCAGATAGGGACTGCAAATAGCTGATTCAGCTACTTTTAATGGAGAGTGTAAACAAATATAGGCTTAAAAAAAAAAGAAGCAGTCTCTACCTGTAGCTGATATAGCTTTACTGTTGGATTCAATAAAATGAAGAAAAAAAAGGACAAGCAGCTCGTCAAGTGGAAAATCTTATCCACTTAATGAAACAAGGATGTGGCTCTGAACAGGATTTAAATTACAGGAAGAGCAGCAAGTTTACAGAGAAACAGTAGGTAATTGCAGCTGTAGTTATTGTTGGTGTGGGGTGGGGGTGTGGGGTGGGGGGGTGGGGGGGTGGAATTACCCACGTACAGGCTCCAGGTGGAATAGAATCACTGACCGGAGCATGACCACACTGCCCCACAGAAATAAATCTGCTCTGAACAGGATTTAGTCTGTGTTTGGATTTGATGTTTCCTCACACATTCATCTGAATTTCTAACACTGATTTCCAAACTGTTGTCAGGTTCATGTTGTTGAACTTTGCAAAACTCTGGTCTAATACGTTTGTTTTACTGTCTTTCTCAAGTCTGATGATCAGTTTCTTCAGCTGATGGTAGTTCACATACGTTCTCTCTCTCCTTCTACTCCCTCCTGTCTTTGGAGATGTGGAAATGTCTCAAATGTTAAAAGTTGAATTCTCTGTAAATTGGATCAGATGATTTCAGAATTTGGCCATCTAATACTTGCTCTATGTAAAGAGATTAGCTCCATGTTTGTTTTCAGCCCAAATCCTTATTCAAAGGTACAAACTCTGTCTTTATTTTAGTGGCTTTGGGCACAGACACATTGATAGAGATGACACAGGACACTGTGTCAGTGGTGGGAGAACGATTTCAAAACATTAGCTTTGGTCATGGTCTTCTCCACCTGAGAATACTGTCAAATACATATTACTCTGAAAATTATAATATATTAATTATAATGTGATGTATGTTATGAATAATAAACCATATATCCAATGATTCATACATTAGAAGTATTAAAGACATTGATGGGAGATGTGAAGGACATGACTGACCAGAGTAAATTCAGTGACATGCATAATTGTCCTCTGTTAACATGTCTCCATGTCTGGACCTGTTGTTAGCGGGATTCTCCCCGTAATGCATCTGCAAGGAGGAGACAGATGCACCTTGCAAACACTTGCAAGACTTCAGCCTGATGCATGTGATGAGTAAATATACCACGTATACCTGGGGCAGAACACGCCACATCTGCACCTGAGAAACAGGAGGAGAAGGTTTAGTGAATCCGGCTCCAAGAGTTTTAGCTTCTTTCAGTGTCTTTTCAATACATTCATTATTGAGTTTGACTTTTTTTTTCTTGAAGTTAGTGAGTGGTGGCTCCACACAGCTTCCTGAGCAGGTTATCACTGGAGACCCCTCCCTTCTCCGCTATGATTGGCAGGAAGGAAGGAAGCAGACAGACTGTGCCGTTGTTCTTGGCTAAGCTAAGAACCTTCACACACACACACACACACACACACACACACACACACACACACACACACACACACACACACACACACACACACACACACACACACACACACACACACAACCATGAACTGAAGCACATTTTACATGTGTACTCCTATACTCACTTTATTAGGAACAGCACACTAACACTTGCTAGTTCCTCAGTTCTTTGTGTCATGGATCCTCCAGATGTTGAAACTTTCCTCTGAGACTCTGCTCCATGTTGACATGATGCATCACATCATTTCTGCTGATTCATCAGCTGCACATTCAAGCTGCCAATCTCCTGTTCTATCCCAAAGCTGTTCTACTGGACTCAGGTCTGGAGACTGGGGGGGGGGGGGGGGGTCACTGGAGTTCACTGAACTCACTGTCATGTTGATGAAACCTCAGATACTCAGATACACTGAGACATTCAGTCCATGATTGATTGGTATTAAGAAGAAAACATTCCCCACACCATCACACCTCCACCACCAGCCTGGACTGTTGACACCAGGCAGGTTTGTCCATGGATTCATGCTGTTGGTGTCATAGATCCAGTTGTACAGGTTTTAGCTCTGGACTGATGATACATGATCAGAGACATGTTTCTAACAGTACTCACTGGTTGTGATGAACCAGCTGGAACAGCAGTAAACAGTCAAACCTTTTTTTCGTCCAGAGGTCAAAGTTCATTCATGTTGTAGGATTCAAAAAAGAATCAGAGCCAGATCTCTGAGCATTAAAGAGCCTGTAGTCCTTCAAATCCCAGTTCCTCAATGAGCCAATCGTAAAATCCAACAAAACATCCAGTCAATAGTCCAGTGTAATTCAGTTTAACAAGCACCGTAAAAACAGAGTGAAATGATATTTGTAATGATACCTGTGAAGCAGACAGACATCATTGAGAGTGGCAGTTTAGATCCATGTTTTCCATCACTGAAGAGCTCAGCTTGTCGGGTGTTGAACTGTACGGTCAGGTCCTGAGTCGTCCACATGCTGAAACGTTTAACGACTGATGCTGCAACTCCTTACACTGATACGATCTTTAGCAACAGTGCAGGAGAAAAACCTTTGTAGAAAAGTATAACACAGGAAGGGGAAAAGGTCTCAGAGTCTACAGGGACAAGAAAGACAGACAGAGATGTTGAAGCAATGAAGACGGAGTGAAAAGAAAGAGACCTGCAAATATTATCAGGTACAGTGTGACGACTTCTGTGTTCAGCAATAACAGGATAATCTTTAGAGGCAAAAGCCATTGTCGTTATCTTCAGTTCTTCATTTCCCAGATATTTTGCTAATCAAACAGTGTGGCATGTAGTGTAGTTTTCACATGTGGTTTTTCAGAGTAAATGTTTTCAGATATTTGTTACTGCCAGAATCTGAACATGGTATTCATTCCAGAGTTTTGTTTCTGATACTAATGCAAAAGTTTGATTGTTACCTCACTTTGATAAATATAATAATGTTTAACTACAGAACCATTTATACACAAAGCTCTGTGTATAAATGTCAAACTGAATTTTTGGATTCTCCTAATTTTTTGAGAATGTAAACTATGATGAGCAATGAACAGTTTCCAAACACACTACATTCTACCATGGCAGTAGTTTACTATTTGTTAGCTTGCTAACAACTAGATGTGACTTGATGAGTCACACTCAGTGCTGTGTTCATCCTTCACTATAGAAAGGTGGTGGTCGGGGTGGGGGTCATAGCTCTAAAGTACCTTCAGGAGAAACATCAGCTTTCCCCTGCAGGCACTTCAGACTAACCTCCAGCTCACAGGCCCACGAGTGACAAAGCAGAAAGGTCCTCTGGGAGCCCAATGCCCAGGTCTGGACCACTGTGCATGAGCCTGCTCCCAGATGTTAGTGTTCACTGTCATCTGTTGTCCTGCACAGCCCAGGAATGACTCGGGAAGGCTCACACACCAGAGGGGGCTTAACTGATTGGGACAAAGAGCCCAGGTCTTTAACAGTGTGTCTGTGTCTCTCTTCAGCTTAGTGCAGTTGCTAGGATCCAGTAAAATAAGCAGTGTTCAGGTCTGGTTCTATGTTTTATTGACCATTCAGCAAACAGCAAGAGCAACACTCCTCACTAAATGATCCTGTAGAGAAGGTCTGAACTACTGAGGAAAATATCTTATTAATTTTCTGACTAAGACTCCACAGTTTATCTTACACTGCATTTATAAAATATTAATCATTTAAAGATAATTGTGATGCAATGTTTATTGATGACAGCTGTACTGTTGTGCAGCTACAGTATGATAACAGACTGTTGCTAAGGCCTGACAGTGTTTTCTTATGCGGTGATGGATCATTCACTGTGTTGGTCTTTTTGAACGTGAAAAAAACCAGTCTACTCTCTGTCTCCGTAGAGGGTCACACAGGAATGGATCTCCACTCCTGTCCTGTCCCAGTCCCAATCCCATCTCGCCCCATATTATGCTTTTTAAAGGACTCGGACTACATAATTGGCAATGGCATTTTTTTACAGTGTTTCCCTCAGGTTGAGAATTTACCCGTGGTAGTGGGAGGTACAGCTTGTGACCAATTTACGAGCAGAGACTCATGCAGTTTAGAGGTGGAGACTGTAATCCAGGTTATTTTCTGTAGCTACAGTTTACAGGTGTAGCGTCTACCAAACTTATTAAGTTTGTGAAATAAGGTTCTGATGTCAGAGGGAGCAGCCTCTCTGAGTATTGGTGGCTGCACCAGGCATCGTCAGTCCACACGTCAGGTGGCTGCTTACAGACAACCAGCGACCAGAGCAGACAGGAGAGGATAAAATAGAATGTAAACGACAACAGAATGACTCGCTTCATATTCGAAATAAAGAAAATGACATTCATTCATATTACACTACATATCTATGTATAAAGACTGACCTGTTGTTATAACGATTCCTGTCCCACCAGCTCCTGTTGATTTTTGTTTTTTTCCTGTCCCAGTCACATGACACTGACTCCCATCTCATGGGAATCCCACACCCTCTAACACACAGAGGTGTTTGTAAGTGAAGAAAATCATTTTTGGTCTGGTATAAACAGAGCAGTCACAAAGCACATCACCCTGACAATAAGCAAGTATAAAAAAATGAGTTAATACCATTTAATGAGAGTGAAAGAGAAGCTGGTCTGGTTTTTTAGATACAGGTGCTCATGAGGTCTTTGACATTGAGTTCCAGGT